TCATCTGGTGTATGATGATACGAAAGGTGCAGTATAACTCAGTAGACCTGGATGTGATTTCACTATAGTGTTTGCAAGACAGCACATTAAGGAACTGTGGTTTTTTTTTGCTGTTTTTTTTTTGGTTTGGTTTGGTTTGGTTTGGTTGTTTGGTTTTGGTTTTGGTTTTGGTTTGGTTTTGGTTTTGTTTTTTTTTTTAGAAGGAGAAAAGGAATGCAGAGAAACCAGAGCATTTCTAGCAAAGGGGTATAGCCATATCCGTAATTAACAAGGCTGTTCATTAACGGCAACTAGATGTGCTTTCTTCAATACCTGTATTAAATTAAATCTCAAATGGCGTGTAGTAATTTTTGTGGATGTTTTTTTGTATTACAGGTATAAGGTGCTGCTTGTAGGTTTCATGAAATATCTTTCCTTATAGAATGCTGAATAAAAGTATTTTCTCTTATAACTGAAGAGCTGTTGCTGAGTGTTGCTTTGAACTGGGATTGTTCATATAATGTGACTAAGTACATCCTAATGCCTTGTGTGTGGACAGTATCTACAACATTGTATTCTAACCCTAGAGTAAACAGATAATTTTGTGCTGTCTCTTTACAGCAAAGACATGGTCATGATTACAGTCCCACTTCCTCACTGCCCTTCCTTGGGAAACAGAACAAGCCCTTTTTGTCTTGTTCTCAGAGGGTCGTTCTCACTTTGCTGTGGAGAGTGCACCAAATCTTTCCACATCTTTCTTCACCTGGGTTTCTCACAACTGAGTGCAGTTTTCCCATTGAATTTTACAGCTATCAGGATAAATGTCTGTCTTTACAACTCTTACCCTTCCTGCTGCGTTCAGAAAGGAAGTGTTAGATTATTATTATTTTTTTTTTCAAGAGGCTCACCTGCTAGCTCACATTCAGGCATATCAGAGCAAACACTTGTTTCAAAACCTGAGGTTTTCTTTCCAGTCTATGGTGTGAGTTTGAGTCTTGATGGTGTAAGTCCTCTTTAAATTCCTGATGGATGCTGATAGAAGATCAAGAAGGTGATTCAGCTTATTATAGAATGATATGATCATAGACTATCCTGAGTTGGAAGGGACCCACAAGGGTCATTGAGTCCAACTCTCCTGGCACCACACAGATCTACCCAAAAATTCAGACCATATGACTAAGAGCACAGTCCAAACATGGGTACATCTGAATGCAAAACTCATCTTTAGCACCCAAGCAAGACATTAAGCTCTTTCTTCTAATAGGAGCATGAGTTTTTCCGCCTGGAACACAATTCAACAGAGCAATCAACCATTTCTTTAACTTTGAAGATGCGGAAATGGATGCTGGGTTAAAAAGAACCAGCTCCCAGCCTGTCTCTAAGAACAATTGCTTAGGGCCAAAATCTGAGTTTCCTTTCTGTTACATGAAGGTCCAAAGAGACTCCTCCTCCCTTCTCAGTTGAGTTCGGTGCTGCCTAGTCTTAAGATTTTCAGTACTCAGCTGTGTGTACCTCAGACCCTCATATTTTGAGAAGGATTACACTCCCCTTAAGTAATATGGGAATCCCGTTTTTCTGTCTCAAGGGAGAATGGTGTAATCATTGCAGATTGTGGTTGTAATCAATTGCCATGTAAATTAAGGCCACGCAAGTACCTTGTAGTGTTTCATCTTCCCTTTCATTTGTAGTGTCTGGTTACTCCTAAATATTACGTATTGGGTGAAATGTCCTAAGAAAACATTACTTTTTAATTTGAACAACCGTCTTTCCCCCCACACCCCCCAAGTCTGCCAGTAGCTGACACAGTAGAAAGATGTGCTTTTCTCTTTTGTTCTTGTGAAGTTAGAGGCAGTGCCAATTTAAACTGTGACTGAGGCTCTGCAATGATGCAAGTCTCTCTTACTACTTCAAATTCAGTGATGCTACCTGAGTTTCCATTAATAAACTTCCAAGGATTCAACCAATTTAAAGCTTTTGGACAATGACAATTATTTGAAAACATTCCTACAGGTTTATTTTCCTCATTTACATTTGTTTGCTCTCTCCATCCCATTCAAAGCAGTCAGGACTGGTTTGCTTCTCTCTTCTCTGAAAATTTGCACTAGGAACCGTTGTTAGAATCAGAATCCTGTTCTAAGAGCACGATGAAAAATGTTGCACTCCAAGTTGGAAATTGGAGAGGAAAATGTGCCTTTATACGTAAGAATTGTACTCAAACAGCTGATTACACTTTTTCTTACCCCTTAACAGGTGCTTATACCTTTTACTTTAAACCTGAGAAGCAACGGGTAGTTTCCACATTTCCCTTGGGGACAGTGTACTCTTCTGTATTTTGCTTCTGTACAAAGAGTTCAAAAATTTAAAGTCATGTTGTCAGTCATACACCCAAACAACCTTGCACGGCATTACATGTTCCCACGCTCTTCACCCCCCCCCCCCCCCCCCAGACAGGTCAAACCCTGAAGGCAAGACGAGACAAGTAAATAACGTGAACATATACAACTAGCTTGGAAATACATTAGGTTTTGGCAGTTTTTTGGCACTTTGTGGGGCTTAACTGTGCTTCAGTGAGAAGAACATCTACTGGTGTGAACTGAAATTATGCCTCTGTGCCACAATGTATTTTTTTGTTTGTTTGTTTTGAGGGGTGAGGGGGTGGGGCAAATTTTCTTGTGGACACCTGCAGGAATTGCAAAATAATAATAAAATTTAGGTGAAGGAAAAGTTCCTTCTGTGTTGTTGTTGTTTTTGTTTTCTTTTCCACACAGTCTTAAAATGAAGGTCCCATTTTCAGGCCCTTGGCAGAGTGTAAGCATGCCGGAACACTTCACGTGATCATGTAGATCATATTTGTCTGAAATGATAATATCATCCTGTGAAATATGTTCATCTGATTCGTGTCAATATGGAACAATGCTAGGGCATCGTAAAGAAATGTGACCTTCTGTCTTACAACCTCTTGTATAAATACAAGTCCAAGAGAAACAGAGTGGTTAGTGTATATAGTTCTTGTATCTTGCAAAAGAATGGTCTAGCAGTTCATGTTGATAGAGGGTTTGAAGGGTAAACCTTGAGAATCGGGTCTGGGAGATAAGAGAATAGGGGGGAGTTTTCTGAGATAACTGCTGACTATTGCATGAGACGAACTTTCTGACATCTGGCCCAGAGACTACTAAATAAGGAGGGGGGGGGGGGGGGGGGGGGAAGCTGAAGAACGAACGAAGGACGAAGCCTGGGAGGAAGACTATGAGCCTTCAGTACAAGCAACCCCCAGAGGGACCGCCAGAGACTGATACGTATGCATCCATGGTATGGTTCAGGTGCCAGGAAACTAATTATAAGAACCCTGCCTTTTCCAAAAGTGGTGGTGAATATGTATTAGCCTAGGAGCATAAAAACCAGCTGCCTGATGTAACTGGTGTGCGTCTAGGTGGAGCAGAGACTCCCGGCGCACCCAGCACTGTTTGCTTACCTCTATTCCTTTAATAAATTGTAAACTTTGATTGTAACCCTATTTGGGACTCAGTCATTTATAACAATACCTATAGTCTGCTGCAGGCTGAAAAGTAGCCTGTGCCTCAGGTGCTGTTTTCTGCCTTTGCTTTTGTTACTACATCCTTGTAAGTCTTCAAAAGGGAAATTAAGTTATCCTATTCAGAAAAAAACACCATCCAGAAGAAACTTTGGTTGTTTTCAGGGCCTGAATTCTCACTGAAACCAAAGTCTGGTATAGAATCATAGATTATCCCGTGTTGGAATGGTCCCCTAAGGATCATTGAGTCCAACTCCTGGCACCATACAGGTCTACCCAAAAATTCAGACCACGTGACCAAGTGCACAGTCCAAATGCTTCTTAAACGCCAACAGGCAGGCTTGGTGCAGTGACTACTGCCCTGGGGAGCCTGTTCCAGTGTGCAACAACCCTCGCAGTGAAGAACCTCTTCCTGATGTCTAGCCTAAGCCTCCCCTGCCTCAGGTTGACATCATTCCCGTGGGTCCTATCACTGGGGACTGAAGAGAATATATCGGTATCTGCCCGTCCACTCCCCCTTGAGAGGAAGCTGTAGACTGCAACAAGGTCTCCCCTCAGCCACCTCGTTTCCAGGCTGAACAGGCCCAGTGACCTCCTCATACGTCTTTCCCTCTAGGCCCTTCACCATCTTTGTAGCCCAGTATCTTACTGACTTGAAGATAGAGGCTTTAATCTATCCTGGTTTGTTTACTAACAAAGTAGCACAAAAGAGACGCGTGTTCTTGGCTCTGAAGAGGAGGTGAGGGAAAAGCCAGTGCAAGGAACACAAAAATCAGTTGCGCCAGACTAACGTGTGGCTGTATCTGAGCTTGGAGACTGCAACCCTCTTCAGACTTCCAGATCTAGAGGAACACTTTGGCTGCAGCCTAAAAGCCACACGTACATAAGCTCCCCCAAGCCATCCAATCTTCTTCCCATGACCTGCCAGGAAACAGCAATGTGAGCATGTAACCAAATCAAAGCTCAGACCTTCAGCCCAGTCCTTGACCTAAATAGTGAGTGAGGATCTGGATCCTGGCATTTATACGTGATAGCTTATACACAGCGGAAGTAAATAGTGTAGTCAGAGGTCACGGGGCTAGATTTTGAAAAGTCCTACATAAGGAAGACATCTCAGAAAAGCAGATTTAAATAACATTAATACCAAGAAAAGTAATTCTGATTGCTGTATTCTTTATCTGTCGTGACTAGACAGATGAAAATCTATGATAGCAATTTTGCCTTTAAGGTCATTTTCTTTATTCTTTGATTTCTTTATTTCTTTTATTTCTCTGTCTATCTATTTATTTATTTATTTTAACAGGCTCTGTACTAATTTTCCTGACAGAATGACTAACAGAAATACAACCCTTGTACACCTTTTGTAGTTAATTCATTAGGTCAACTCTAACCATTAAGCCCCTTGTCAGGTTATTTCTATTATTGATAAGGAGCAATTGACCATAAAAGACTGAAGCCAGGTAGAGGAGTGTATTCCACAAGGTCTCTTGGCTCCACCCTTGTGAAGTAAAATCTGCCAGGTGTGGGTCATTTGACCTTTGCTATATAGGAAGCTTGAGGAGCTGTGGGGAATTGCCTTTGGGGGTGGAAGAGAATTGAGGCTAGGGTTGTCTAGGGTGCTTTTCTGCTGTTGTGGTGAAGTGGGCTTAGTGTTCCCCTGTGGGCTATTTTTTCTTCATGCTTTCTGCCATCTATGTGAAATACTTTTAGCGACTCTATGAGCTAGCTAGGTTGGCAGTGCCTTCTCAGTACAGTAGAACCCTGGTAGTGAGACTTCACTGTGAAGCAGCGTGGAAGTGACTCAGGTTCAGAAGCTGGCAGATAAGTGTTCCTGGGTTTACAGTTCTGTAATGTTGAGGAGTTGGAGTACTTCCTTCAGCTTGTCTGTTTTCAGTGAAACTACTCTTGTGGATTCTGAGCTCCCTTTCCAGCCCTTAAAAACATAATAATAATAGTAAATAGAAATAAAACCCCACCAACTCAGAAGCTCCAGTGCTTACAGGTAAGCCTGACTTCTAGGAGTGTTCTTAACTATTTGTTAAGGTTGAACATCTGGCAGTGTGAAAAAGGTGCCTTAACATGTACTCAAATTATGCCTTGTGGTAAGTAGAAACAGATTGGGAGAGATACTGGTGGCTTTATCATAACTTTCACTCAGTGGAAGTCATGAGACTGTGCTGTTCATAAAAGAAATGCCATTTCCACAGCATGTGAGTCAAAAGCAGTACGAAGAAAGCCTCTCCTCTTCCATACAGGCCTGAGTGTCTTGGCGGCGGAGAAAGTTTTGGAAGAGGTCCACCAAATGAGAATCGATCTTCCTCTGTAGAAACCAGTGTCTGAGGTATCGAGGAAAGCGTCCTTCTGTGAAAGGAAGATGAGAGAGTGGGAACGCTGCCTGTGCCACCCTGTGGTTTTGCCAACATGATAGTGCAGAGGACAGGAGAGAAAAGGATGGAAAACTGAGGTGGACACTTAAAGGCATTGTTACACGAGTTGTGAATAAAAACAAAGTGTCAGGAAAAGGGGTTGTGTGAGAAAGGTGCTGCTCCAAATTATACAGGGCGGTCCTTAGGGTGGGCTGGTCCCCAGATTGAAGACCTCCTCAAGTTCTGTTGGAGCACCGTCACACACCGGGGGAGCGGGATGATCAGAGTCTGATGGAATGCAGTCCTCAAATGCTGGATGGATGCTGTTCTCAACATTGGGGACACCACACACCTCATGAACTGAAGTAGGAGGCTCTGCATCTTTCCTGCCTTTCAGCTCTGGCAACTTGAGTCTTTCTTCAGATGGAGGAAAAAGTCAGTTGAACAGAAACCTCCTCAATTCCAACAACTAGACAAGACAGTGAAGATAACACAAGAAAGAGACAGGGCTGCAAGTGGCAAAGGCTGGCACTGGTGGTAGAAGCAGTCAAAGAATACGTGTGAACAGGACTGCCTTCAATTAAAGGCTGTCTTACTGATTTTTTTTACATGAGTTGTAACCAAGTGGCCAGCTGCCAGCAGAGACACCATGACACTCCAAGCTGAAGCTCACAGTGCACACTCCCTTGCAGCTTCACCGGGGCACCCACAAGCACAGACTGACCCCACCACAGGAGACTCTGCTACCTGGACAGGTACCTACCTACTCTACTACCTACTCTGCTGCCTTGGGACACCACAGTCCTGCTGCCTTCCTGGGGTGCCTACTCCCCTCGCCCTGCAAACAAACCCTGGCTCAGTTTGTACCTCTGCTTTCTGATGGCATGGGCCTCAGCTCTGGACTTTCTTACACCCAGCAATGGCAGATGGAGAACACCCAGAATATCCCAGTCATGCCTGAGGCAGCAACATGCAAATAGATCTTTCCCTCCATACTGAGCTGGTGGGAACAGGACTGCTGGCCAACAGCAAATTGGAAGTATCGCTGCAGTTAAGACAGGAGAGAAACCTGCCCTACATGATCTGAACAAGCCACTCTGCCCAAAAAGTGTCATGCCTAACAAATGTGCAGAGCAACTGCAAGAACAGGCGAAAGCACCAGCAGTTCCCATGCAGTGAGGAGCTACCAAGATCCACAAGTTCGTACAGCGTTAAAGAGAACACAGCCTGCTACGCTGGGCAGAAGAAGGATCTGGGCAAGAAGGATCCGAGATTGCAGAAACAACTCATTATCTAGATGGTTTTAGTGCAGCACACATGTAATTATCCTAGTATTAATGCTGTCGGCAACTCAAAGTGTTGTCTTTGGATCTTTCAGATGCTTTTCTGTTAGAAAAAGTTCCCCTTGATTACAGTACTCCACTTGCATAAGACAATCACGCCTCACTAACCCAGACTCAGACAAGCCACATCACACTTGTAGATCCCTGTCTGTGACCCATAGGAAGGCACGTAATGAAACATACTCACCATTTTCAGACCATGTTGCTCAGGATAGTCTCTGTCATCTGTTGGTCTCAAGCTTGAATGCTGTAAGACTGGTGGAGCGCATTGTTGAATTTTTTTCTGCATACTTCCAATTTCAGGAGCCAGTCAAGCTGAGATGACAGCTTGAGATGCCAACTGCGGCTTAGGATAGGCTGTGCACCACAGAACTTGGTCCCCATAAGACGTGTTGCTTCAGAATGGCATCCTAAAATGAGATCCTTAGGAAAGGTTTAGTATTATACATTTGTGAAAATTGTATTACAAAAACTGAAAGATTTAACTCACCCTTTCACACTTCATGTGTAGATTTGATTCCTATGTTACCTGGCAACTAAGTCACCACTAATAGTAGTTTTATGTGATTAGATATCCATTTGAATCACTTCTGCTGAAGACATCTGATGGACAGATTATCTATCAGATATCAATGGAAACTGTACATGGAAAAAGATGTTGTGTTGCCTGCTGTTTACGGCCCACAGCAACATAACTGCAATCATATTTCTGAGTCACTGATACGCACTTCTCTGCCCTGCTTCACACTCCTCTAAAAGACACAAGAAAGAAAGCAGTAGCAGTGGCCTACAGGACAGCACATTACATTTCTGGAGTTCAGAACTGTATCAGCATGATGTTGTTTGACCCCTTTTTCTGTTCATTTAGCAAAAACTCTCATAAAAGGAAACTGGTTTTCCAGAAGAGGTTCTTACATTTCAAGCTGATTTAGGCTTTCTTGCTTGTGTCTAAAAATCTCTTTCCAATCTTTCTTCATTTACTATTTAATGATCCCAAGTTCTTGTAGACCCTGATACAGGCAAGCAGAGAAGACAGTTCCTATCAAGAAAGACTATCTCAAATGGTTTTTTTGTTTTTTTGTTTTTTTGTTTTTTTTTTCTGTATGTCCATGATTACTTTTTCTATCTATCTTGGACAAACTTACAAAAAGCTTTCACATACACCTGAATTAACATTTATTGTGATCACAGATGTGGACCAGAGGAAATCTTTACCAGACCAACTGAAAGAAAGACTTGGCTTTTCCAACAGAACTGAGCTAAACGATGCAGAATAGATTAGTATCGATGTAGACTTTCTAATGTTTTCTGTAAGTCTGGCATTGTCTATACCCATCCTGACAGTCTATTAGGTTTTGTGTGTTCATGGGTGAAGCATTTATGTTAAATAAATTTGCTGTTTCTCTACCTGAATCATAGTTAACAAGTATACATATAAAAAAAATCATAGTTGTATTCTTATATGAGAACAATGGACTGATTACTTGTACTGCTGTGATTTGAGAGAATAAAGTACACACAGCTTCCACATATAGAGAAAACTTAGTAATTATTCCTTGTGAATGGATGCAGTCTTATATATAAAAAGCAAATTGAATGATCTAGATATAAACTGAAGACACTTTTCTGTGGTAGCTAAGTGTTGTTAACTGGTGTGTACAAATAAAAGGATAATTTTGTGTTTATTGTGTCTGTATATATATCAGTCTTCATTTTTTGTTTCTTTTTTTTTCCTAAACACAAAAAGACTAAACTTCTAAAAAAAAATAAAATATACATTCAATCTATTAGAATTCAATAAGAAATTAAACACTATATTCTCATTAAAATGCATTACATCATGAACAGTAGGACAATAACCATAGGTATGAATATAAGTATTTATGATATAGAAAATAAAAGCATAGCTTAATAATTCTCTTGCATGTGCTACTCCAAACTTTCCAAGCATCAGTTTGGCTACCTCTTTGTCTTTCAGTCGTCTTCTCCAATAACCCCTACTGGACAACTGACAACAGATCCAAGATGGGCATTTCACTGGTCAAAGCTATTAACTTATACTTTTCTTTCAAGAACATTGAAGGAAATTAAGTTACTTGTTCTTCCCAGACTGATGGCTGGCAAGTCCAATAGCACAATCCTTTTGTTAGTAAAGAACTGTAGATGGTGTACTTTTAAGCTGGGCAGGAAAATAGTGGTTTGTTTTAGCTGAAGGGTATGTGATTCAAACAAAGGAAGAGATGAAGGAGATGGCTGCTTTTGAAGGAGACTTCTGGAGGAAATGTCTCCTTCCCTGAGAGCAGTAGTGAGAACAGGGAAAAACAGGAGTCTATGCAGACCAAGACTTGCAGAAAGAGGAGAGCAGACACAGTGCTTAACTAGCTGAAGAGAGGTGGTTTTCCAAAAGATTCAGATGTGACTGCAAGATGGTTCCATAAACCAGGAAATTTTCAATGATGTGGTAGATGAGAAGATTTATTTCAAAGCCTTTCTACCATATCACAGTCTTTAATCTATCCTTATTCAAAATAGCTTCTTGTTCAGATTGTATTCAAACAAAAGCTACTGTAACCTTGTAATTCCTTTCGGAGCCTCTGTGTGCTTTAAGAAAAGGGGCAGTGGGGCCACAACAGGAATCTGACATCAGGCCTGTCACATCTTGTGACAGCTTGTGTCTGCAGCTCATGTAACTCTGGGTCAGTGACATCTGATGCAGAAACTCCTGCCTATTGCACAGCAGGAGAGACCCGAAAGAACCAAGAGTGTTGTAGAGGAGAAGGAAAATGGAGATAAGGTTCTGGGAGATGCTGCAGTTATTTGGTCTTCATCATGACTAAGTCACCCTGCTCTAAAAACAAGCCATTTACCTATCAAATTTACATGATCTGATGATTACTTGAGATGCTTTTATAGGTTTGGGAAGGGACAGAGCTCTCTTTGTGTAGCCTTCTTTCAAAAATGACTGAAAAAGCAAGACATTCACTCTAAGATTTGGAATTTCCTGTTCATCTTATTTCAGAGTGAAGGAAATATGAATGTCCTAGACCCGTGTCATCAAATCCTAGCATTTTCCTTGTTGCTATTAGTTCAGGTCTGAACATCCATGAGATACTTCCTCACTGCTAACGATGTAGGGCTAACAAGAAGTACATAAGTATCCATCTCTGATATATATGTTTTGATTGGCAATACTTCAATGAAGTATTGTTAACTTTTATGTCTTGTAGGTAAGTACATTCTTTTTCTCTGTAATCTGATGGAAAGCTCACCACATTTTACTTTAGCAATACATGTATTCCTGTTAGGTGAGAATTGGACACTGAGTTACTTTTTTCCTAACCAACATGATCAATTTACAGAACTTTTACAACTCAGATTCTGCCTCTAACTCCTCTTTAATTGCCAATCAATTCTTCCTACCAAGACACCAGATTTGACGCAAGTTTTATTTCCAACAGCAGGTACCTTGTTCACTCTGTCTCATGACCTGAAATTGTCTTTAGGTTCCTACCATTTTTCTTCAGTTCTTCCTTTAACTCATGTCATTCAATCTATTTACACCAGCCTTCACCCTTGGCTCATGAATTCCAGGGCTGGGATTACTGATAAAAGTAGTGCAGCTTAATTTTGGCTGATATGTACTAACTGTAAATTTGTCCACATTTTGTCTGCAGGAATGTGAGTTAATTCATTTAAGGAGTTGTAGTATTAATGTTTATTCCACTTTCATTAACAGCTAAAATAAGACACTTTACCCCACATATGGAGTAAGACTGTGTAGAGGTCATATTGAAATGATGCCTGACAAATTGTTATGCATAATAACTGGATCATGACTTTATAAAATGCTATATTAAATCATTTGAATCAAGTGCCTAATAACTTTACCCATCTCATTTGAACTGTGTACTCTTTGTCTCTCCTCCAGACCCTAGATCTAGCCAGAAGGCAAACCTACTTTGGTCAGGGAAAAACTGACCAAACCACTACTTTGTGTAGGAAGTGAGAAATATTTTCTGTCCCTAAGCATGCCTTGCCATTTCCATTGTGATGAACACAACTGAGATCTAAGCTTTTTAAATTAGGCATCTGCCTTTGGATTGTCTGAAGTAGATCTAAACAATTTACCATGAAAATGGAAAACAGAATTTTTAGCAACATGAGAACAAAAATCCTTGTTTTGTAAATGACACCTGAATGAATGGTAGTTCATGAATTATATGGTTTCTGACATCCTGTTGTCCATTCCTTTCTATTCATTACAGCTTCCCCAAGGTACATACCTATTTGTTGACCTCCCATATCTGTCTCTGCCAAATATTGCCTAAAGACAAGAAAAGCAGTTCTTTCTAATTCTTTCACTATTCTTCCATTTTTAACATTATTGGCCTGTGCTATGCAAAATCAGCTGCTTGTCATGTACCTGACAGGAAATACAGTGTTGTTGGTTAATCACTAAATTTTACATTAAATATTTTAATGTGTAATTTCAAAGCGTGTTTTGATCATAGTTATTGAAGATGAAAATACTGAAGAAAATGGCAAATGAAGGGAAAGATTTTTTCCAGCTTTCAACATACACCTCGCTTTGATGTCTCATCTTAAAGTAAAAAATTTGCTTTCCACTTGGTTATGCATACAAACATAAACTATAGGCAACAAGCCTATATGTGGCAAGTAAAGTTTTTTTGAGAAATGTCAGTCTTAAGTCTAAAGACACATGGTTTCAAATCCTGTAAGAGGAATTTCACATTTTTATTTACCAAGAATGTAAAATTATAAGTAAAAAGTAAATTATACTTTCTCACCATTTTGAATATATGACATTGGAAAAAAAAAAAATCTACTAAGGAGACTTGCAATTCAAATGGCTCCCTGATCTCTCACGTCCCTTATTTCAAGATTTCTTTAAAAAGTCCAAAATGTGGCATATATTTGGCCTATAGCAAGCCATGATACCATGATTTTTCTTTTTCATTATAATAGAGAGAAAGTCTCTACTTGCACATAAGAAGTTCCAGCCTTATGATATGCCATAAAATACAGCGTAAAACATTTTCTCTCTTGCTTCTGAAATTCTGAAAATAAGATTCAGTATATTTTTTTTCTGTCTAGTTACTACTGAACTCATTCACTAAAATTACATTTCAAATTATTGATATTTAAATCTACTTTCAATGTCGCATGTCTCTTAATTCCATTTCAATTAGAAAGTTATTTAATAGGCCACTGTTTAGCAAAGTGTGTGATAATTCACTGCATTCTTCCTGGCCTATTGCTACATTTCATACATTCATTTCACTAACTACAGTTCTCAAGTTGCATAACCGTATTTACAAGGGAAAAATAAATCCTCAATGTTAATTAAGTTTGCCATTTCTACAGACTGTTAATTAACTTGTGACCCACTTTGCAAATATCCGATGGCATTAGTTGGTTTCCAAAAATAACACATTAAGATGGGACTAGAAAGATGCATAAAATGTCTGTTATTATCCAAATTGTCCACTGTCATATTTTAATCAGAAATATTCACATAAAATATATTGTCTGGAAAATTGATATAAATTTGATATTATCTTAAATGGTCATTAGGCACCATTATCTTTACCTGGGAATATGGTTAGAAGTAGCGTTACATGTTTTACATGTTTACACATTTAAGACAGTTTTTCTTTTGAAATACTCTCACTGGTATACTTTCCTAGGAGAAATTTATGAACTTTTCACATTTCCCAAATTCTATTTGAGCAGATATTTCTGGGGATGAATTCAGAAGTCTGAAAAATTGTTAATACTATACAGGAATGACAATGGTACAGACAGAAAAAGGGGGAAGGGGAAGGGAGGGAAATTCTGCACAACCATTATTATTACTTTGATTTGTATAAACCGTGAAAGTGAAGAGATCTGAATATAAAAAGATACTTTAGAATTTATATGTCTGATTGCTGAATGTGGAAGAATTCAATGTCTTAAAGCATCTCAGCAATCCGTAGCTGTGTTTCAAAACAAAGAGTCTTTCTTAGGGTCTTAGCTTGTTCAAAACCTACAACAGATTATCATCCACTGAATCCATTGGTGCAAAGATTGACTTCTTAGTCTTACAGCTATAAATCACTTCCTGAGTTTTGAGAGTATCTTCTCTGCACTAGGATTTTACATTTAGATCACAGACTTGCCTTATGATCCCTTTACCTAGAGTTCAGGAGGAAAGAACTGCTGTGGAGTCCTCACAAATATACCTAAAGTGACTCTGGAATATTTTAATAATAGAAAGAGCCACAGGATGCCCTTTGTTAGTCACTCGCCTTTTTAAAGTCAGATATATATAATGATATACAAGTGATGGCTGTTCTATTTTATCCATAGCTGTTTCCTCACAAGTTTGTCTAAATTACTTTTAGCAGGAGGTAGGAGGATGACCTTGTGAGAAACAGAACAGTTACTGCTGGTGACAGTAGGGACTGCTCACTAAATTTCATTCCTACAAGAGAGGAAAAATATTTGATGCTAAAGATTTTTATATTTTACTCTTTTCTCCCAGTTATTAAGTATTTAGAGAAAAATTTAGTGCTGAACAATACAAAAGATCTAGCATCAGAAGAAAAGTGAAAAAGCAAATTTTACAACACAGTGGCATATTCACAACATATGATAATGCCAAATGCGCATAATTTTCTTC